ATTAATATGATGTTTATCCTGCTACAAACAAAAGCAAAAGCAAAAGGCACAAGATTATTAGCTGTCTGGAAGTTCTGCTGTAATCCACACCATATTTTGTGTTCTGGGAACATCCCTCCAGCTGAGGAGATTTTCCCCAACAGAGTGGCAGTTTGACACTCTTGGAAAAGAACCCAATGGCCATGTGAGCAGCTTTCTTTAGTGCCTTCTTTGCAACCATCTCCTGCTTTAATCCTAGATGTTATGAAATCTTCCAGAGTCTATAGTGAACTCAAGCTTTTTGCCTGCAATAGAAATAATTGGGGAAGGGTGAGTGATGGAGGGGGAGGAGATGAGAAAGTTAGCAGAGCAGAAAGGAAAAAGAGTGATAATGCCCCCATTAATTTCACTATCACTTGTGCAATGCGTATTACTTCCTCTGAAGCACTTCACTAAACCCTTACAATTTCAACAAGCAAAATTGCGAGCTCTCAACAGCGGCCTTATTGCTGGTATTAGAAAAAGCCTGCAGAAATCTGTTCCCTTGGTTTTAAGATAATGAACCTTTTGACATTTTGATAGATGCTCAGCATTGTTACTGAGCTTTAGAAACTCTTATGGGGGGTACAGAGCAATTCCCTCATGAAAAAGGGAGCAACATGTGGTAGATATCACATCAGTTTTTTAACTGATTGGTTCAGTGGGTAAATGCACAAGCCTCTCACCTTGTGGGGCCTGAGCTTAAATTGAGCACAGTGAGGTCACAGCTGTATTAACCTGGTATTCTCACTATTGTCTGTGGGGAATAGTAATCCTAAGTATAAAGCCACAGAGCCCTATACAATTGAATATAGTTTGTATAATGACCATTATTTAGTCACAGGGGGCACAAGATTACATGAGCATGGAGAAAATTGCCCTCTGGCCCTCATCTAGTCAAAAGGTAGAAAACAGTACAAAGGAAACCTGCATTATGCCAAGCAGAGGAATGCTCTAAAAATTTCTTCATACTGTTGTGCTTATGGCCTTACACTTTTCATCCACCCCATTGCCATGAATATGGTGGGGGTGGAAGAAACTTCGGAACTTGAATCTTCTGCTGAAAATAAAGTGTGCCAAATTTTCCCACAGCAAGGCATATTCCATCCCAGTGATAGATGAATCCAGAAGGCTTTGTTCTGTTCAGTAAAAAAAATACATCTACATATGCATGTGTAGAAGCACATACACACAAGCATATAACCATACATCAATCATTCCGCATTTCTACCCTGCATGGCCCATTTCACTTTCGAGCTCAAGTGTTCTTTCTTTAATGGGAGGACAGTTAAGTGGTCCTTGAACTAGAAGCAAATAGAAGCTTACGTATTGTCTCATATCTTCAAGTGGGTCTAGCCATGAAGACAGGATGAAAAACACAGGAGTGAGTGGCTGGACTGCTCTCTTCTTAGCATTTTGCTAAATCCATCCTTGTGCTTTTCACACAGCTTGAGCCAAGTTTTTTCTCCACAAAGTTCCTACACGTGACAAAATATCCATTAAACACAAAAGATGTGCCTTGATAAGTACTTCAGGTCTGCACCATTCTCAGACTTGAGCATCTGACCCTGATGGTCATTTCACCAGAGAAATCATCAGGAGAGTGAACTGAAGGCAAGAAGGGAAGCAGGTGGGGAAGCAAGAGAGAAGATGATCGTTCCCATTTCCCTGCAGGATAGTGGTCACATACAGAAAACAGCAACTTCTGCATGCAAAGGACCTCATTACATGCAGGCAATGCTGTCACATAAAGCTGGGGCACTTGGGCAAAAGAAATACCCAGAACCAAGCTTGCATTTTCAGAAATCATGTAAAAATGAATAAAACCAGTGGGGTGTGAAGAACAGGTCTCTAAAGCCATCTAAAGACAAAAACAGTAAAACTGGAAAACAACTGTGTCAGTATTCACAACTGAATATACACAGAATCTAAAATCATAATAAGAACTAACACTAAAAAATACAGTTTTATTAACAGAATAGCTTACTGTATGCTTATTTGTCAATGACTATTCTCCTCAGGTACCTATATTCAATCTAAAAGAAATCACAAGCACAGCTCTCCAAATAGGCTGTGACTCATGTCTTACCACACTACCTCTTCATAAACTTGTCACCAGGAGAAGAGGCTGGGAAGGACCACAGTAATTGATCCCAAATTCTGGTGGACACCCAGTTCTAGAAGTTATTTGCTTGCATCTTAAGATCTGAATTTGTCAGACACATGCAAGGCACCACCCTCACACACACTTGCCATGAAAAATGAACCCTCAGATTTCCTACCTCATTCTGTCCTGATGGACAGTATTATTAGTTTATGAAAAGAGGGGTTTTTTTTGTCTATTCCCAGGGGAATTTATCCTTTTCTGGATGCTTTGAGTCTGCCCAACTCTTCCATTCCTTGGTGGATTTTTAAATATCTTTATCTGTCCCTCTGAACACATCCATCACTGCCATAGCCTGGAAGCATGCCAAATACAGATGTCGTTCCCTTTGCATGATGACTGAAACAGGATGACACTGATAATTTTGGGGGTGTGTAAAATACCCCTAGTGCAACCAAGGCACTCAGGACTTGCATTAAAATACTACATTACATGTCTATACAGACAAGCGCACATACATAATAATTGTATTATTGATAAGGAGTTACTTTGGTTGGTATTGCCATTGTCTGCTCACTGTTAAACATCTAGATATGACAAACTGGAAACCCTGTATGGGACATTTACTGCACTAAGGGGTGGCATGGAGTTAAACTCTGTTCTTAGGGGAGTGGACAACTTATGGTAAAACGTAACTTCTTCACAAGATACAGTCAGAATGTTCTGTCTAAGGAAAAAGGCACTCAAATAGTGAAGAAAACTCCACTTTGAAAACATCACTAGTTCTATTAAAATAACCATGGCAGAATGTATGACTTTATGGGAAATTGTCTAGTTGAGGCACTGTGTCTGGAAATAATGACAAGAAAAGATCTAGAACTGAAAAGCTGTTTTCCCAAACTACTCTAATGATACTCCATGGCTGAGTAGTTAAAAAGTCAACTGGACTCTTTCATGTTCAACTCTGAACTGAAAAAGGAAATCCAGTTCAAGGAGTTCTATCTCTTTACTGCTTGGAAGAACCTTGACAGCACACAAAATTGAAAAAGGTCAACAGACTTGCTTCAGAGATACCTCTGCCTCCCATGACACCTGAGTCCTGACTTTTTCCAGGGTACACAGTCACTAAAATTAAAAGGAAAGGAACAGCCTGAATTTGGATATGTATTATTTACTCCTTACTTATATACAAGATCAATTTCAACACTAATTATCCAAGTGCAAGCAGCTAAGTCATGCTGTTTATCCTGAACCTAGCTTCATGAAGCCATTGCAGTATTTTAAACTAAAAGAATTACATGATAGCATCTCTGGAATTTCTGCAATTATTATTGATAATGAAGCAGCAGTCACCCTGTGTGAGAAACTGCACAACCACAGGGTTTGGGCACAGGCATCACCTTCCAGAGAAGAAACAAGAAATCCAGTAAATGTCATCATCACCAATATGAAAATTTTTCCTCACCTGAAAAGCCATTTGGACCAGGAAAATGAGTTTATAATTTTCAAAAATCCTTGGCTTGTGAAAAGATAGGTTGAATATGTGACAGCTTCTTTCAGGCTAGAGATAAAACATAGAATATCCCCTGATTTTGCAACCTGTTTAATTGCTTTGTGGAAGACGAATTGAAGGCCTGAAAGTCAGTACAATCATTTTTACGTATTTGCATTTGCTTTTTTTGCTTTACTACTCATAAAATAATTGGTTTCATGCTGTAGGCTCCTATAAAGAGCTGGCCTAATCAGTGTAAAATGCAAGAGGCTGAAAAGAGGCTTTTAGAGGAAACTTTCAGCAAACCAGGGTTGAGGGCTACAAACAGCAATACTCTTCTGCTTCCTTATTTAACTCAGCATGGAGACTCTCTCACTCGAGCAAGCTGGTAATTTTGCAGTGGGTGATCTCCCTTACTCACAGCATTAGATAACTCGGTAGATTTACAACGGGGAATTGTTTATACAGAATTCCTCCAAACTCTTCCTTCCTGGCCCTGTGGGATGGCTTAGCAGAAGGAAGGTAAACTTTTGCAAGCCCAGTCAGAAAGCGCTGTCAGAGTGGAGGCAGCCAACAAAGAGAGGCGTGGGGATGTACAGTGTTCCAGACCAGCAGGAGATCACATCGTGTTCTCCTTCCTCACACACGCAGCCCTCCCAGTGTAAACATCTGCTACAAGGAACAACTAATGGATCAGGCATCACTGCTGGAGGCAGAATTCTGTTTCCTGCACTTGGAGAAAAAGTCAGCAAGAGACGTTTTCACCTTCAGTGAAAACTGGTGGATGGGGTTGACACTGCCCAGGCTGATACTCCCAGGGTAAAGGAGCTCTTCTGGCTGTCAGTCTCTAATGCTCTCTTTTCGTGTTACCCTGACCTTCATTTTCTTTGGCTTCAGCTATCTCAATGATGACAGTTGTCCCGTCTATTTTTTAATATGTCATGATTATCCTGCACACTTACCAAAATATTCCTATCCATACAGAAAAAAAATATGGATATACCCTAGAAAACTGATATTATTTCAGACAGTAGCAAATATTTAAAGTAAGTAAGCTTCTTATCTTAGACAAATATTAGGGAATAACTGTCCTCTGCAGAAATATGCCTGTTTACCTGTGAAAACATGGCAATCATATATTAATACCTTTGTTCAAATATCATGTTGGTATTCATTAATTTTATGAGTACTAATTCAAGCACCTAAAAAAAAAAATCAAACATGTGACAACTACATTATTGTAGACATGAAAATGTGAGAATGGACAGGACAGCCCTTTCTGGAAAGATAGCAATTTGACTATTCCTGTTCTAGCTCATAGAAATGTTACTCTTAAAATAATAATAATAATAATAGAATAATAAGAATAGACGTTTTACAGAGACTTTAAGTTGTTAGAAACAGTTCAATTGTTACTGCCTTGTGTTGTATTTCTGCTGCAGTTGACTTTGCTGATTTGATTTTCTTTACAAGTTCACTGTCACTAGCTGCCGTGGGCAGCTGACAGGCTGAGCAGCCTGTCATCCTCCAGCTGCCTGAGCTCAGTGGTGAAACTGTTCTGTTTCTTGCTGAGGACTGACTAGCAGAGGATTTTAAATGTTTTAAACAAATGTTTAAATTTAAATGTTTTAAATGTTTTAAACAAAAACACTGTGTTTAAACAACCACAGCAAGAAAAATGTTTTATAGGATTTGTGAGATATATTTTCTGTTTAGTTACATCAGTTGATTTAATTTCTGTCCCTGTATACTAGATCTAAGGTGCTGGACACCCAAAGTGAGAAGGTTTAGGTCATCATGGACTAGAACTTTATCTCTCTTCTAGTGTCCTTCCTCCTGAGATTACACAAAAGGACTGTGATCTTGCCAGGGATGGTAAGTGGTAATCTATGTGGCAGCTGAGAAAACCAGAGGATAGCACAAGGCTGAAGAACCTCACTTTGGCAGCAAACAGAGTGGGAAAGCATTGTCATAGTCTGCTCTGCTGGACTGACCTTCTGACAGTGCAAGAGCTTGACTGGTCTTGTGGGGAGCTCTCAGTCAGCCTCTGACTCACACCAAAACCCTGGGTGATACAGGCCTTGTAAGCATGCAGTCCCAGGTGGAACAGTGTGCAGATGCAGAGGTAAATGGACAGCTGTTTTCAGTTCTCATTCCCATGTATATGGCTTTCACTCTTCAAGGGATAATTAAACTCCCTCACCCAGTTTGCCCTTGCATGAAGCAGGAGTAACTCAAGCAGGTGGAGCAAACCTTTGCAAATGAAGTTAGTTAATTATATGAGATAACTGAAAAGACACACTAGAGAAACACAAGGTATTCTTGTTATTCATTCCCCAGCCCTAAGTATTTTCTCTTCATATTTTATCTCATAGATTAGTCTGCCCAAAGTCCTTCCTATAACCACATATAAAAGCATTTCTCCTCATACTATATATTGTTATGACTGCAGCAGCCACAGAACTGCATCCTTGCAGGAATAAATTGTGATTTATTAACCAAATGTCCTAGCTCCTAACAGTGCAGTTATGTCCTTGTACAGACTGGCATGGAATTTTATTTACACTTACTGGCTGAAGCACAAAGCACTGCAGAGGGCTTTAATCCTGCACTGTAAATTAAATGCAATGCACAGAGGAAACCAAGCAGTAGAAAGAAGTGTGGGAATAATATCACAATAAATCTAATTTCTAGCAGAGCTTTAGGTCACGACAAGCCCTTTGAGAGCACAGATTTTAACAAATCAGTAAAAGAGCTTGATACACTTTCCAGACTCTTAAAATCTTTCTAATATGGGCTATTAACAATTACAGTACAGTGGATTCACATAGGCATATTCAGAGCAAGCAACAGCCAAATCAAAGTATAGTCCTTACCTTATGTTTTCTGTGAGTCTTGCCTTTCAGCATTAACAACCTCAGGTAACAGCTGGTCTTCCAGCCTGTCCCTGGTGACAGTGAAATTAATGAAGGTGGTCTGAACAGGCAGTTCTGGCTTGCAAGTGAGAGTTAGCCAGATTAGTGTGAAGGATGAGATGAAAATTCTTGTTGAATTCACATTTTTTGTCTTCAGTCTTGGTACATCTGGGAAAGAATAAAATGCGCACAAGAATGGGGTTCTCACTAAATTAAAACCTCATAGGTATCTCAGATTGCAGACGATGGGTACTGTATGATCTTAGCAGCATAGCAAATTCATACAAGCCAAACTTTAGGTGCCTACAACTTAAGAAACAAAATGATTGAACACACCAAAAGTATATGAAGAATACACAGAGCGTTTATTAATTGTTGCAGTTTCATTTGCATATACAGCAGACACAGGGAGATTATTCACTGCTGTACTGAAAAGTGTGGCTTAGGGATAAATGTCTATCATCATTACTTACTGGAAACTTAGGAAAGTTTTCAAACAAATATCAGTGAGATAGTTCTTAGTTTTTACTCTCATTTCCTTAAATATGTAGCCTAAAAAACTAAGCATGGACATGTATTTATAACAAATGGATAGACTAGAGGACAGGGATTGGCTGGCAACTGAAACAACAAAAATAATGATTTTTTTAAGGTAATTTACTAAATTTTTTGTTCCAAAATAATGTTTTTTAAAGGTAATTTACTAAAATTTTTGTTCCAAATTAATTATTTGCTGGATGAAAGAACTAGTTATCCTAGGTTCACCTTTTATTTACTGAAATCCCTTACTGAAGAACTGTCATTTCCTGATCCTTGTCTTCAGTGAGGGGTGAAGCCCATCCCATACAGCCACTCTGCTACTGCTGATTTACCATTTTGGAGCCCAGCAGTGAGGCAACATGAAGTTCACCTTCCTACTGCTGTGGCATAGCACCAGAAAAAATTGAAAGGTTACTTGTAGACTACAGTGTGTGCCATGTGTCTGGTCTGATGTGACCCAGAGACACAAATTTGTCATTGACTTGCCCAGTGAACAGTCTGTCAGTTTCCAGGATTCACTTGCCACACATGAGAAGAAAACCAGTATTTTCTGTACAACAATGGTTTTGAATGTTCTCTGGCAAGAAAAGAGATTCAAATATTAGTAATAAAACTCTGTTTAAAAAGGGCAAATAGGGCAGTTGTAACATGGAACACAAACTCTTTTATAAAATTCAAATTGACAGTTGTTAACTCAATTTTCAAAGTGATTGCATTAACATAGATATGAAACACGTAAAATGTGATTTATGAAAGTCACATCAGAACATGAATAAAACCAGTACTTTCTGTAGGAATTTTAACATTGCTTTCTTTCTAGGCTATCACAGAACATTGCCAGAACATAGGTTTCCTCTCCTAAGATCCTTTCCTGCTTCTGACATGGCCTTAGCTATAAGACACAGCCTAAACAAAATGGTGTGCTGAGACCCTTCTGCATTTCACCAGGGAGAAGGAAGAAATGAGAGCTGCTTATGACATACTCCAAGTGAATTCTTTAAGGAAACCTACTATGTCTAGCACTGGGAAACCCATAATTCTACAAAAGTCAGCATCAGACATGTATGTTGTATAATACTGTCTTGCAAACTGATGGAGATGGGTTTTCCAGGTTTATGCTTGTATAATTGCTTCAGATAATCCTTCAGATTATCCAGCCTCTCTCAAATGGACATGAATTCACTGTCCAGTCCTGCAACATGGTCTCTCCACAGCCTTCAAAACTGGTTACAGCTGGAGGGAACAAAACTGTAGAGTTTGACATGGAGAAAGCAATCTTGCTTTGCTTTCAAGACACACACACAGAGATGAAACAAAGATCTGACAAAAGACAAGTTCTTCAGTTTGCTTTGTCTGAAGAAAAACCTTTGCTAAGGGAGCCACACTATGATTCAGACCATCTATGAGGTAATATAACAAGTTTTAGAGCTCTGGATTAAAATATTTCCTTTAGGAGTTCTCAATTCACAGAAGCAATAAATAACCAATTTCTGTGATTATCACCTATGAAAGGCAAAACCTACATAATGACTTTGTGGGTTTTATTACTGCAGCTGTTGTAGGTTTTCTGTTAATTACAGATTTGGGAAAAAGGAATGTTCTGTTATTGCTCTCGCACGGTTCAAGAGTATAAGCAACAACGATAAACAGAGAGGTGGAGAACCCAGTAGGATAACTTAATTTTTTCAGTAAAATATATCTGTTTAGAGGTTAGCTCTGGATTATGAAGAAATACAGCAAAATAGGCATGAATAATAGAAGTCCATGACAGAATGAATATCAAAAAACAGTCACCAAAGAAATTTCTAAAGACAAGTTCTACTTTTGGCAATATTTTCTTCATAATGTCCTATTCCCTCAGCTGAGGCAGGCAGAATGGATGGAACTAATGCACCACTCTACCCAGGAACAGACATAGCATCTTGTATGTGAGTCCCAGCTCCCTGGTATTTAAGAAAAAACAAAGTAAATTAAAAAGAGATTGTTCCCCACTAGTTTTGGGGTTTTTTTTTTCCTGTTGAAATTCTCATAGATTTTGAAATAAAGTAGATTAAGGGGTTCAAAAAGGATTTAAAATTTTTTTAAAAATCTGTATATGCCTTGAGTGTAAATGATTTTTAGCCAAAGCAAATATAAAACCAAATAAATTCTGGGAGGTAACATGAGCACTCAGCTATGAGAAGACCAGGACGTGTGTAACATCTTTTCTGATCTGTCAGACTTGATTGATTGACACAAAGACCTGCTATTCCCTTGTGCATGTTCTGCCTAAGGTAACAATGCCTAGGACTTTCAAAGGCAGCAACTCATGAATTTCGAGTATAGGAACATGACTTCATGTAATGCAATGACTTGAGAGTTTACATGACGTCTTTCCTTATCAGACAATTTCATGCAACGCAAAATTAAAGTGTACCTTTCAGGGCAGATGTTCTCCAAAACACACCATAACTCTAAATGGTAGAATGGTAGGATAGATTCCTGTAGTGAGATGTTTTGGATCAGCTCAGCAAGAATGAAATATGTGATAAATTTTTGGGCAGGAAAGTAAAAGGAAACAATATTTTTCAGTGGGAAGAAAGAGGGATAAACATATTTTCCAGAGGAGCTTTCATTCAGCTCCTGCTGCTTAAAATTAAAAGCTTCTGGAACAGACTTGCAAACCCCAACAACTAATGTAGAGCATGAAGTTGAATAAATCAGGTGAAAACAAGCACAGAATGGAGCTGTTACTAGGCAATCTCAGTAGGCAAACTGTGCAAGTTGGTCAAACTAGTTCAGTGGGAAAAGCACTGCCTTGAAGCTGCACAGCTGACGAGACGTTCAAGGCAAGGAAAGCTTCTCCCTGTGGAGAAACTGAGTGAGTTTTCTTGCTGTTTCATGAATAATAGTCATGCCTCATAAGAATGGAAACTTGTTCATACAAGCTACATTTGCACATAAATCAAATTTCAAGACGTCTTAAAAAATCTCTTAATAACCTAATCTTGCAGCTGAAGAGACATGACTGCCTTTTTGTGACTGTGCAAAGGAGTTCAGCAAGGGTAACAGCTCATGCAAATGCAAATAGGAGCCTTATGAACAATCAATTTATTCCTCTGCCTTCTCTCCTATGAGCCAAAATAACATTGATCTGTTATAGTTAATGCTCATAGCCAGTGATTTCCAAAAGAGAGGTGCTGGGGAAACAGGATAGGACACACACAGGTAAAAATTAAAATATTAAGGGCCATCCATATCAAATCTATTCAATAGCAAATTTCTTTTATAGCAGGTGAAGGCCAAAACCCAGCACCATGTAGAGTTGGTACCTATTTACTTTTGTGTCTTGGTTTAACTGCTCAAAAAAAAAATCCAAGTATTTGCATAGTGGATAATTTTTACACACAGTGCTAATGCGTTGCACCCAAATTTTGCTTACTTTTTCTCTTGTGTACATACAGAACAGTATGTACTACAACTGATATTTTCTTAAAATTATTTTATATTTTTTCCTTTTCTCCTCCTTCTCAAAGCAAATATCTTGAAATATTTTAACAAAAAATCTTAGCATTTTAAAGCAATTTTGAACATAAGGCCGTAGTCTAAAGTGCGTTAAAAAAAAATGAGCAGTTTTGCCATTCCAAAATTAAAAATAAAAATGTATCCAAATTTGAACACCCAAAATTTGTTAGGCTTCTAAATATATACTAAAGCACTTCAGCATGAAGTCTGTTTTTCAGAGATAAAAAGTACCTTTAGTTCACCCTATTGTGACCTGGTTTTGAGGAGACTATTAATTTATTCATTTGAAGTTCTCTAAGGCTGAGAATTTCTTTTGCAGGCTTCATTCAGAAGCAATACCAAGAGCTGGTGTTGCAGAATATCCAGGAGTGCAACATAAGAGCCACCTTGCAAAGAAGGAAGGGGAGAGGTACTTTTATGAAGTGGTTCACAGATCAGCAAGTTCTCTAATAAACAGGCTAGTAAATTTGCTTTGGAAAGAGTACAAGCTGATAAATCTCCCTTGCTATGCTTTCTGTCGATTGATATGATATATTTTACTTAAAATTAGGATTGTCTGAAGCTCAGTGGATTTAATTATTTGTAATTATCCAGTTGTTGTCAGTATGTGGCCATTTTATGACAGTGGTATCTACTGTGTGGGTCAGGTTCAACTGTACATCTTTTCAAACACAGAATTAATGTACTATTGATGAAACCATTACTAGAACCAAATTAAAGTCTGGGCTGATGTATTGGTCCATGGGGTGCTGTCAGACATGAAAGGAGTAATTAGTATTCATTACTTCATACTCTGCAACATTCCAATTATTAATGAACTTCAACTGCTGGACTGCACCATATCTATCACAAACAGTCTTTCTAGTCTTTCTTTATTAGGAAAAAAACATTCAAAGTACCCAACAGAACTACCAAAATAAAAAAAAATAACAGAAATTAATCAAGGATGAAGCAAACTCTGCTTATTTGGTAATAAATGGGGTATATATTGTGTGGGTATATATATAGTGGTGTGTATATATATTGTGGCGTATTTATATATATATATATATATGTATATATATGTATGTAATTCTATACACAGACACACATGTGCCCCTCAAAGGTGACATGTGCACCTTCAGTTGGGCACAGAATGCCACCTCACATAATGCTGCCTAAAATATTGGGCAGAAGAGCCTATTTTTGAACAGCTTCATATATTTGCTTTTGTGTCCACATACACAGCTTCATTGTTCTATGTGGAAGCCTTTGCTAAATAAATTCAAAGCTATATTGCTGTGACCCTTGTCCTTTTCAATTCAACTTATTTCTGTTGTGTCATATCCCTTCACATCCTCCCATTCCTTAAAAGTCTGTTATCTTGTGAAAATTCTGATCTCTCTTTTAGAGAAGTATAATACTAGTTTTCAGCGAAGTTTCTTCACTCTGGATTCTGAAAAGCAAGCTGTATGCTCTCACTATGAAGTACTTCAAATGCAGCTATAGAAAGGTGCAACAAAGTGGGATCATTTCAAGGTCTCACAGCACAGGGCAAGAGTGCATCTTCCAGGAGCTTCATGTGTACAAGGAGATCTGAGCTGGTTTTCACTGCTTAGATTTACTGAGCAGGCACCAATGCCTGAAATACAGGGAGGGAAGGAGGGAAAAAAAATATTTGGTATCCTGTCTAAAATGATATCTTCTTTATTTATAATTTCTTTCATATTTTCACTTTCTAAAATGTGAAGCTGTGCAGGCACTTTAACCACTCTTTGACTAACATTTGAGATCCATCCAGAAATGCCCCAGGAGTATGTCTGGTATCTAAACATCATATTCTCCAACATGAAAAATCTAGCTTGTTGATGTGTTGCTTGAAAACAAGAATAGGAGGGAGGAACACATTCAGACTTAAAAATAAATTTACATTTGAGCAGAAACAAACTGACGTGGCATTTCAGTTCATTAGATGAAATATTTAATGAGGCTTAATAAGTTTACTCTTGAGCAACCACAAATCAGCATTATTCTTTAAGCTGACATCTGCATTGAGGACTCAACAATTTCATCCAATGTTTTTTGTGAAAAGTTATGGGAGACATTACAGACTGAAAGTCTCTTGCAGTAAGTACGAACTTCTTTATTTTTCCCCATTATTATCCTGAAAATGTGTATCTAAAAAGTATCTAAATAAGATCTTAAGAAACATTTTTAATAGTATTTTTAAAGTTTGATAATTTTTCAAAATATAGAGGAGAAAGAGGGCATGGGAATCAAAGATGAGATTCACAGACATCACTCCAAAAAGGTCAGAACATAAGGTTACCTTCCCTTGTACCATCTACCACTCCTGCCACTGCTGTGTCAGAACAGAAGAAACTCATTAGGTCAGCCTTGTGTCACCAGTTTGAGTCTCCTACTGGAATGGTGCAGAGCTCCAGGGTGGAGCTGCAGCCCTTCCCTTGGGAGGGAGCACCCAGAACGGGCCCCAAATTCGAGTATTCGGAGCACCCACGTGAAAAATGAGTTTTGGTGCTAGCAGACCAGGTTTAGGGGAAAACAGAGTGGGCATTAACACCTCCATGACATCTGCCTCCATGAATTCCTAACCAGGATCAGCTGGACTGGTTTGGTGCATGGGAAGTTGGCAGCAATATCAATGTAAGCAGTCCCCATCTCTGGCTGACTTATTTCTGCCCTGTGTCCAGCCATATCAGTTTTTCATAGTTTGTCTTACTTTCCAGGGTTTTTGTTTGTTTGTTTGTTTGGGTTTTTGTTTGTTTGTTTTTCCTTTTTAAGCTGCTTCATTATTTAAGAGGTGGGCAAAAAACCATAGTGAAGGCATGGTTTTCTTAAGCTGATATTGCAGCTGGAAAACCCTTTATTGTTAAATCCAAATCTAGCTTGTAATTTCCAATGCCTTCCCCCTTGCTATCAGTGCCTAGCATGGAAAGGAAATTTCCTTTCTTTTGAGCTGAATTATAATATATGCAGCTCCTTGTTTTACTCCTTTCTTTGAAGTAAAAAAGTAAGGCATTCCACTCGAGCAATATAGTATTTTGAGTCCAATTTGGAAGCTGAGAACATTATTTTGCTATCTAATATGATACAGATACTAACATTTTAAAATCCACTCATCTCCAGATTTTAGCCATTGCATTTTAAAAAGAAATCATTTGTTACATGAGGAGTTGAAGCACTAAGTAAAATGTAGCGATCAAAGCAATATAGATCCAGTTGTCATGGAAAAATTCTGATTACTCAAGCATACTCACCTTCCCTTTTTAACTGCATGTCTTCCAAGCAGATGATCAAGTATGGGATCAATACAGTCACACATGTTTTCAATTAATACGGTCTCATCAAAAGCTAAAGCTCTTTCAATGGTCTTCAGAAAACTTTACCTGAAAAATAAAATTCCCCCCTGCCCCAATATTAGATAAATGCTGGTTATAGAAAGATTTCCTTTATATACTATGAATAGCAAAGCTTTTCTAAAAGCACATGGTTAAACCATGGAAAACTGCTCACAAAGAATTGCCCAGTGTTTAAGAGTTTGACAGTTTTGAGTTTAATATCTTTCTACCTATGCTCTTGCTAGTCGTCATATTAAAAAAAAAAGTATATATATATTGCTGGGGCTGTTCTTA